TGTCTCTCCTCGCTCTCCTGGCTGTCTCTCCTCGCTCTCCTGGCTGTCTCCATTCGCTCTCCTGGCTGTCTCTCCTCGCTCTCCTGGCTGTCTCTCCTCGCTCCCCTTGCTCTCCTGGCTGTCTCTCCACGCTCTCCTGGCTGTCTCTCGTGGCTGTCTCTCCTCGCTCTCCTGGCTGTCTCTCCTGGCTGTCTCTCCTCGCTCTCCTGGCTGTCTCTCCTCGCTCTCCTGGCTGTCTCTCCTCGCTCTCCTGGCTGTCTCTCCTCGCTCTCCTTGCTCTCCTGGCTGTCTCTCCACGCTCTCCTGGCTGTCTCTCGTGGCTGTCTCTCCTCGCTCTCCTTGCTGTCTTTCCTGGCTGTCTCTCCTCGCTCTCCTCGCTCTCCTGGCTGTCTCTTCTCGCTCTCCTGGCTGTCCCTCCCCGCTCTCTCCCCTGGCTCACATTGCTGTATTTTGCAGCAGGCTGTGTAAACTAATATTCTTTGATGTAATACAAAGCAGCACTTCAACCACCAGTATCCACCAGAAAGGTGTCAGGGAGCTCGGCTCAGCAGTCTCGGGCTGATAGGTAATCATGTGTGCACAGCTAAATAAATATACCAAAATGGAATAAAGGGGACGCCATTCCCCCCCCCCCCTTCCTGATCTACTAGCATCAGCTCTGAGAGCTACTGCTAGATCACCATCTACCTAATGGGCACCAATGGGCACCTAATGGGCATCTAGGACAACATAACTGAACTGGAAAGTGAGCTGAATTGGAGACGTTTCCAGTCCATGTTGTCCTAGAGATTGTTCCCTTCTCCAAACTCTTCACCCTTCTGTGAATAACTCTGTTAATTTCCTTTATAAACGTGAATCGTTCCACAACGGCATACATCCTAATTGCCGAATAAATACATAAATAAAATCATGTCATTTTTATCAGTTGATCGGACCACTTTCAAGCAAATAATTTCATTTCCAGGACAGAGCTGACAATGCTGCAATACTGCTGCTGACATGCCAATAGCGTACTCTCCCCTCAGTGCTACAGCAGACTGCAATACTGCATGAAAGTCTCTGACCATCACCTGTAGTAGGTCTGCAGTCTCTGACCATCTCCTGCAGCCTGTCTGAAGCCCCTGACCATCTCCTCTAGCCTGTCTGCAGTCTCTGACCATCTCCTGTAACCTGTCTGCAGTCTCTGACCGTCTACTGTAACCTGTCTGCAGTCTCTGACCATCTCCTGTGGCCTGTCTGCAGTCTCTGACCATCTCCTGTTGCCTGTCTGCAGTCTCTGACCATCCCCGGTAGTCTGTCTGCAGTCTCTGACCACCTCCTGTTGCCTGTCTGCAGTCTCTGACCATCTCCTGTAACCTGTCTGCAGTCTCTGACCACCTCCTGTTGCCTGTCTGCAGTCTAGAACCATCTCCTGTAGCCGGTCTGCTGTCTCTGACCATCTCCTGTAACCTGTCTGCAGTCTCTGACCACCTCCTGTAGCATGTCTGTCTCTGCCTACTCTCTGACAGTCGTCTGCAGCAGTACATTGAGCATTAAACTGAATATTATGAGCAACCTTTTGTGATATCAGCAGCCACAGTTGAGAGTCCCCTATATGTTCTGAGCTGACAGCCCCTGAGGTAAAGGGTCCCCAGGTCAGGGCTGTACTGATGACCGGCAGCATCGTACTACAGCTACATCACGATTCAAAACCGAAGCTCTGAGCGTGTAGTCTGTGTCCTCTGTATGCATTTCAAATCATCTTTTTCAGTTTTGGTTGGAGTGTCCCTTTAATGACAGCGTCACCGCGTATCCATGTGCTCGGCCGGGCTCCTGTTTGTTGAAGGATTTCTATGTAATCCTATAATTGCATTGTTGGTTACAATAGGTCAACATTCCTACAGCACTGAGAAGTGGTCCTACCTGTTCCACCTCCCGGGGACAGGTCAGGGCCCCCTGTGACTCACCCTTCGGCCGGTGCACGGAACACATTTGTAGCCACTTCGCATGAATACAGTTCTGAAAATGTTATTAGTCAAAACGTCATTAAGCTCGAAAACCCCAATTAGCACTCTGTGTAATCCCATCTCCAGTGTGTGTGTGTGTGTGTGGCGGAGCCCTGAGCCGAGGCGGCGTGACTCACAAGCTCAGTATTTTGCAGGCATGAGTCAGCGTGGCCGGTAGATAAAGTTATGATAATGTGCGCGGGGCCGTTAATGTGCGTTGTGGGTACAATAAGCTGAGCTATGCTAATCCATATGAATGTGTAAATAATGCATCCCGTAATTAGGGTGACCGGCCTCTGGTGACGTCACTTTAATTCTGTTAAGTGGAAGGAATCGCTCGTTATAGATCAACTCGAAATATTTCAGATGCTGACTGCATGGCCAATGTCTATGGCTCACGTCTAAACTCCAACCTGACTTATACGAATGGAAGTTAGTGCGGTCATGTAGGCCACCAAAGAACACGATGCATAGACACCATGAATGCCGACACCAGCCACAACATGAAACAACTACAAGATCGAAAAATGTTGGCCCACAGAAACCCCCATAAGTCGGAGAAGACTCAACAGATAACGAACAATAAAGTTTGTTGTGATTCAAGCAAAAAAAAAAAAACAACTAGAGCGGAGTGCGGCCTGTATGATCACATGATGCCATGACAATTCATGTAAAGTAGAAAAAGTTGGGAAAAGAAAAGAATTGGGGCGCATACCAGAAAGCATCATGTAATACAAGCATTAGACACGTAAGTGTCTATATGTCGGGAAGTATAAATATATATCTACCCAAATGTATGTATTTATATTTATATGCGTTGTGAAAATCCAGACACCTCAGCTCTTTTCCAGAGAGTAGCGTTTAATCCAACAAAAGGCAGATGGACGGGAACAGTCCAACAGAGTAATGATAAAATAAAGTAAATTAATGAAGATTCCCCGTGAGTACCCTTCTCTATACCATCTCTCTCTCCCTCTTCCTTTCTCTCCTTCTCCCATTTCAGTCTCTCCTTGATATACCCATTTTCCTCATTCACCAAAATGTGGAAGAAGCTGATTGGTTGACCAGAAAAAAACCTTTGATCTTGTTGTTACCAAACAGGTCCTTGATTCCCATCTACAAGCTGCTCTCCCGCACCGAAGGAAAGTGGGGGAAAAAACATAAACATACTGTTTACAAACAAACATACTGTTAGGGAGCAGGTGCATTTTTGCGCGGCACCTCAGGCAGTCGCCGGCCAGCTAAATTAGGACCCCACCGGACCAGCGCTGACTCGCCGCTGCTCTCCCGCGCCGAAGGTAAGTGAAAAAAACAAAAAACCATAGCGCAAACATCGGGGCATTTTGACAAGTACTTGTCAAAATGCCCTGTTTTTTCCGCCCTCACCCTGCAGCGCCCTCAGGCGGCCGCCTGACTTGCCTTGCGGTAGCGCCGGGCCTGCAGATATTGATACTAAAGCTGAATCTCTTAGACCTGAATGGCATTCAGGATTCGAATTTCCGAATTGCATTCTGGAGCTCCCAAATTCCATTCGGGTCGGGGAGCCATATACATATATTACTAAAGCTGAGGCTCCCAGACCTGAATGGCATTCGGGAGCTCCTGAATGCCATTTGGAAATTCGAATTCTGAATGCCATTCGGGTCTGGGAGCCTCAGCTTTAGGCCTCGTTCACACCAGATGCAGTGCGTTCCGGCCCGATCCTGGCCAAAATGCACTGCCTTGCATTGTGGCCGGCTCACTTTTTTATGCCTGCAAAATAGTGCTTGCAGCATTTTGATCGGACCGGACCACAGGCATAATGTGCCTTGCGATCCCGTGTGGCCGATTGCATTGCGGCTGGAGGGCTTGGCTACAGTGCCATTCACTTCAATGGACCACCACGCCCCCTCCTGCCCCACAAAAAAAGTGAGCCGGCGGCAATGCCATGCAGTGCGTTCTGGCCAGAATCAGGGCCGGAACGCACTGCATCTGGTGTGAGCGAGGCCTAAGTATTACACGTATATACCGAACGGGAATTTTCGTTACGGCGACAAGAAAGCCATAAACTATATGTAACGGAAATTCGTGTTCAGACCCCTTCGGATGCATTAAATCGAACACCACATCTGATTGGTCAGAAAAGTCACATGTCCGATTCAGTTTCGTTTTTGAACTAAATTCGGATGGGATCCGAAATTCGGAAACAGAAATGTCAGAAAATTTGTGCAAATTTTGATTGTGAAGCAAACGAATCGCACACGTCTAACAAGCAGGCACAGAACATGATGACCCAAAAGGGCCTTATATACAGGATATTGAAAAGCACCTATGGTAAAGCAAAATGTGAGCAGTCAAGTCCAATTCGGAGGTGCTCACCTTTTGCTGTACCATATTTATTTTATCTAAGGTGCCAGACCTAGCAAACAGGGGCGTAACCAGAGCAAGCAAAATTTTGTATGGGGCCCCGTGATTGCTAGTTATGCCCCAGCGGAGAGTGACCCTGCAGAGCCCACCATAGACTCTCTATAGTGGGCTCTGCAGGGTCTGAGATCTCTTACCTGTCAGCGCCTCTGTGGTCGCCGGGCCCCGACTCCTGTTCCGTCCCCGCTTTCCCGCCTCCTCTGCTATCGACGGACCCCGCCTTCTCTTACATCACTGGCCCCACCTGCTAGACGCCACTGCTAGCAAATAAGAGAGACATTTAAATGTTTGATATCTAAACCCAAAAACCAAAGACTGAAGATCCAGATTCCTATAGAAACCCAATTGTGATTGGCTTCCTTTCCAGCCCTGAAATACATTAGACCAGGGGTAGCCAAACTCCGGCCCTCCAGCTGTGGTGGAACTACAAATCCCATGATGCATCTCTCTCCGGGAGTCATGTCTGTGAGAATCTTGCAATGCCTCATGGGATTTGTAGTTCCACCACAGCTGGAGGGCCGCAGTTTGGTTACCCCCTCCCCCATTAGATCATCGATTAAGACGCCATCGCGCTTTTTTTTCCAGGTAACTGAAGACACACTGAGCAGGGACTGAACAATAAAAATCATCTCTGGTTTATTTATTGCGATAGCCAATCACAGTTTAGAAAACATATTGTAAGTGCAGTGGGTGCAGATTACTCCAGGTGGCAGAAGATCATGACTGTTCCCCGCAGGGGGAGGAGCCACATGGTAGGGGGATGGTTTCAAGGCTTCACAAGTGTGGCTTCCATCGGAGGCGGGGGATCTGTGCTTGAATGGGAGGGCTCTGGTGGCCGATATGAATTTTAAGGTGCCGAAGATTATATGAGATTACAATATGAGATCCGAATTCCAAAGACGGAGGAGAACGCCAAGAGACGCAGGAAAAATAGATCGGGCGAGGATGAGAGGAAAGAAGGGAGGTCGATGGGAGACGGACGTATAAAGGTGATACATAGAAAAACGGGATTGGGAAGACACATTCTGGAAGAGTGAGGCCACACAGTGACACTGACAGCTATGCAGTAAAAGAGAGCGTCCTGGCTCCTTCTGGGCGTGACTCCTCTACTTGTACAGAAGGTGGACCATGCTCCCGTCACAGCTGTTCCTCCCCAGCTTATCGCCTCCCTCAGCGACCAAACACCGAGCAAGAGGGAGGCCGGGCTGATACAGAGAAGAGACCGCCCCCGAGGAGTTGGGGAAGTGATTGTCAGAGCAGTTCTCCCGGGGCGTCACAGACTGCTTCCTGCGAGAGCGCAACTGCTGGCGCAGATCCATGACCCGCTCTTCTTTCTGGATGTGAAGAAAAGGGGGCGGAGAGGTATTATAAGTCAACAGAAAGAGAAAGGGCAGAATAAAGTCTGAGAGAGAGAGAGGAGTGACATGTTTCTGACCTCTGTGACTGGATCCTCTGAGGATTGTGTGCTGCCGGGGCATTGCATTGCTTCCACTATTGGACAGACCTCTGATGACAGACTCTTCTGCTGGAGGACTCTGCTCCTCCACTATTTCTCATCTCCAGACACATTCATGGATGTTGGAGGACTTCACTATCGTTCTTCTCCTGTCATACTCTGTTCTGCTGGAGGACTCTGCTCCTTCTCTATCTCTCATCTCCTGTCATACTCTGCTCTGCTGGATGACTCTGCTCCTTCTCTATCTCTCATCTCCTGTCATACTCTGCTCTGCTGGATGACTCTGCTCCTTCTCTATCTCTCATCTCCTGTCATACTCTGCTCTGCTGGATGACTCTGCTCCTTCTCTATCTCTCATCTCCTGTCATACTCTGCTCTGCTGGATGACTCTGCTCCTTCTCTATCTCTCATCTCCTGTCATACTCTGCTCTGCTGGATGACTCTGCTCCTTCTCTATCTCTCATCTCCTGTCATACTCTGCTCTGCTGGATGACTCTGCTCCTTCTCTATCTCTCATCTCCTGTCATACTCTGCTCTGCTGGATGACTCTGCTCCTTCTCTATCTCTCATCTCCTGTCATACTCTGCTCTGCTGGATGACTCTGCTCCTTCTCTATCTCTCATCTCCTGTCATACTCTGCTCTGCTGGATGACTCTGCTCCTTCTCTATCTCTCATCTCCTGTCATACTCTGCTCTGCTGGATGACTCTGCTCCTTCTCTATCTCTCATCTCCTGTCATACTCTGCTCTGCTGGATGACTCTGCTCCTTCTCTATCTCTCATCTCCTGTCATACTCTGCTCTGCTGGATGACTCTGCTCCTTCTCTATCTCTCATCTCCTGTCATACTCTGCTCTGCTGGATGACTCTGCTCCTTCTCTATCTCTCATCTCCTGTCATACTCTGCTCTGCTGGATGACTCTGCTCCTTCTCTATCTCTCATCTCCTGTCATACTCTGCTCTGCTGGATGACTCTGCTCCTTCTCTATCTCTCATCTCCTGTCATACTCTGCTCTGCTGGATGACTCTGCTCCTTCTCTATCTCTCATCTCCTGTCATACTCTGCTCTGCTGGATGACTCTGCTCCTTCTCTATCTCTCATCTCCTGTCATACTCTGCTCTGCTGGATGACTCTGCTCCTTCTCTATCTCTCATCTCCTGTCATACTCTGCTCTGCTGGATGACTCTGCTCCTTCTCTATCTCTCATCTCCTGTCATACTCTGCTCTGCTGGATGACTCTGCTCCTTCTCTATCTCTCATCTCCTGTCATACTCTGCTCTGCTGGATGACTCTGCTCCTTCTCTATCTCTCATCTCCTGTCATACTCTGCTCTGCTGGATGACTCTGCTCCTTCTCTATCTCTCATCTCCTGTCATACTCTGCTCTGCTGGATGACTCTGCTCCTTCTCTATCTCTCATCTCCTGTCATACTCTGCTCTGCTGGATGACTCTGCTCCTTCTCTATCTCTCATCTCCTGTCATACTCTGTTCTGCTGGAGGACTCTGCTCCTTCTCTATCTCTCATCTCCAGTCATACTCTGTTCTGTGGAGGACTCTGCTCCTTCTCTATCTCTCACTTCCTGTCATACTCTGTTCTGCTGGAGGACTCTGCTCCTTCTCTATCTCTCATCTCCTGTCACCTGTCATACTCTGTTCGTTGGAGGACTCTGCTCCTTCTCTATCTCTCACTTCCTGTCATACTCTGTTCGTTGGAGGACTCTGCTCCTTCTCTATCTCTCACTTCCTGTCATACTCTGTTCGTCGGACAGTGACACTCACCTCAGCGATAATCCTGCCCAGCTCCTGGTTCTCCCGCTCCAGCAGACGTGATTTCTCCTCCTCATTATTGTTTGTGGACGATCCTGTCTTCAGAGTGTCCTGCTGCTCGGACTGCCACTCGCCCCTGGTGATAAGTCTTCTCATCTGCGCAACAACATAAAGATCCCAAATGAACCAAACGCAGACAAACCCCAACTTTCTTGGGATATTAAAGAGACCCTGTCACCAACCTAAAATATGTAATAAGATTGAAGACAACTTTTGAACACGTTAAACTGATACGAGATCGTAGTGATTGGGTTCTGCTATCAGCGGAACACGTTCATGTGTATACCTTTAAAACGTGACAAAGACGATAGTTCCCCTTTAAGTTAGAACTGTGCTAGCACGGTACACTGCGCCGCGTTTATATATAGCACTGACGCATACTGGGCGCCGGCCGACCTCTGACCTCCCTGCTGGTTTCCTGGCTACAAGGATCCCTGCGGAGCGATGAAACACACTTATTTATTTACTTTATATAGGTAAAAGCTAATAAGTCATCGCCATGGCAGCTGCAGCCTGTAAAAGATCTGCGCAAGTATCCCTTCGTATGCGTTTCAATGTTACCAGAGGGGTTAAGCCCTTTATAAGTCAGTAATCACGACTCTCTGTTATTCCGAGGGAACAGCAAGTATTCAGTTCCCTCGTTTAGCATAAACAACTTTAATTGGGTGCTCCGGACTAATTAAAAATAGGATCCTGCGCTATAGCTACATTCAAGGCAGATTCAAAAAAATTATATATATATACATACACACACACGCTATATTATTTATATATATATATATATCTATATATATAATGCATCTGTATATTCCTTTCAACTTTATTTTTAGAGTTTTGGCTAAAACAAGAGAAGGTTATATCACCTGTCAGCTTTTTTTTTTTTTTTTGCCATTGGGGAGATTTCCCTTCACTTCCTGTCTGATAGCCGCAACAGGAAGTAAGAGGAAATCCCTCCAAAGAAAGGGAAAAAACACATTGGCTAGATATGTGGGATGTATCAATCAGTTTAAGACAAAAAACACAGAGGTCAGAGGATCTGCATACCAGCCACTGAACTTAGATAGTGGCTTTACTCCAGAACATTCATGGCTGAGTATGGAAAAAGATCCATTAATGTATCGCTATTGAACAAAAAGGGAAATATATGCCATAAGGCTAACAGTATGTGGACAGCCCTCTAGACTATTGAGTTCCGGTGAAGGGTACTTCCGGTGAAGGGTACTTCCACCCTTGTGGTAACAGTTTGGTGAAGACCCTTTTCTGTACCACCATGACTGTACCCCTGTGTACAAAGCCAGCTCCATAAAGGCATGGCATGATGAGTCGGGTGTGGAGGAACTCTAGTGCCTACACAGAGGCTTGACCTCAACCCTACTGAACACCTTTGGGATGAATTGGAATGCCAATTGTGAGCCCGTTCTTCCAACATCACTACCTACTACACAAAAGCTTTTATTTTTATGATGAATGGGCACAAATTCTAACAGGCCCATTCCAAAAACTTGTGGAAAGCCTTCCCAGAAGAGTGGAGGTTGTTCTAGCTGCAAAGGAGAGACGGGCAAAGGGGAGAACTCCATATTAATGCTCACAGCTTTAAAATGGGATGTCAAACAAGCTCATATCGTTGTGATGGTCTGGTGTCCACAAACGTATAGCATATAGTGTGGCAGTGATGTTGGGGAAGGTGGTACACACGGCTTTATCTTTCTCTAAAGGAGAACTATGGGGTTAAGGCTTTTCCCCATAGTTCTCCTTAGGGTAACGGGAGGACACAAAGTAGTGTCCTCCCATCACCCTAAGCTCAGTATACCGCGAGCTACAGCTCCCTATATACTGAGACGCCGGAGCGGATCCCGACATCGATGTCGAGATCCGCCCAGCTGCGTGAGTGACAGCTGGCTCTGCCTATCTAGAGGCAGAGCCAACTGTACCCGCCCCCTCCCCCGTCCTCAGAGCGGGGAGGGGGGAATCCGGCCCCTCCCCTGTCACGACAGAGAGCCGTGATAGGATCGAGAAGTGAGCGAACGCCGGTATGTGTTTGCTCACCTCCCGATCTTCTGAGCCGACCTGTGACAGTCTCATTGTCACAGGTTGGCTAGAACTATGAGGTGAGTGAAAAGCACCCGCCTCATAGTTCTCCTTTAAAAAAGCTCAGAAATGGAAAACATAGAGTTGTCACCAGGAAAGAAGTTGGATGGAAATCTTCCCATGGGGACATCTAGTGACAACTGTCTAAGAGGGCATTTCATCTTTGTAGATATTTTCTCTCATTTACTCTTGTGCCCCCGGGTCAGAAGGACGAGACATGTGAAATGGGTTTTGACCACTTACTACTCTATACAAAACTTTGATGTAAAGTTTTTTGTTGTTTTTGTTTTATAACTAGTTGTCTTTGTGGTTACTCACTACCGTAAAGTTTTACTAGGACCGAGTAGAACACAGAATCGGTTGAAAATGACCATTGGATCCCAGCTCATGATGTTCCTTACCTTGGGTACAAAGAGGACGACTAGGGTGATGTAGGCTGAAAAGACGATGGCCAAAGATGCAAATGCAAAGCAAGCATCCTGCTGACTGCTGAGGATCATGGTGACGGGCGCTGTTATCAGACACAAGACCTGAAGAAAAAGGGATTCGGAAAGTGAGCAGATTATGGGAGGAGAACCCTACACGAGGAGTCATATAAATTAATGGTCATAAGCTCGATCTTTATTGGTAGTCAAGTAAGTATACAGCCAACCCGTTTTGGGGGATCAAAGCACCCTCTTCTAAAGGGCTATCTGAACCATACCGTCTTCAACTCATTATGTAAGACACTTCCTACCCACCACATAGCAATGACATGATTCTGGCTGCTTGCATGGAACGGACCATTTCAAGGTGGGGGTCCTTCTTAACTTAGATCTGTGGTGTGGTGGAGTGCCACAGGATGAGTATTTTGTTTTTTTAAATAGCATGAAGCAGTGAAATGCACATTGGGAGAGAGAGACTTCCTTCTTTAGTCAAATTCTATGTGGTCTGAACTAGGGATGTCCCGATACCAGTTTTTTAAGACCAAGTACTGTCCCTCATATACTTGCCGATACCAATTACCGATACTTTTTCTTAAAGGGACAGGTGAAATTTTTTTCTAAAACAACACAGACTGATTATTTTTGTGCAGTTTCTCACCAGGGCTAATTACGGATGTCACCAGAACTGAACACATGGCCCCAAAGTAGAACACATGTCCCTAAGGCGGAATAGTATTTGGCTTTGGGGACATGTATTCTGCTTTGGGGACATGTATTCTGCTTTGGGGACATGTATTCTGCGAATACATGTCTCCAAAGCAGAATTCCTCTCACCAGGCTGCGTGTCGATGTCACCGGGCGACGTGGACATCTGCAGTGGCTCTGCGGGCACTCCACTTCACCGGCGATGTCGGGACCCGGCCTCCCCCGCGTCCAGTCCTGCTGTACCGTTAGTGTGCGGCAGGAACCCCCAGCTTCTAGCCCTGGGGCGGCAGTTCCGCCCTCGGGGCTATCCATGGCTCTGCCTGCGCCGGGAAGGAGGAGATAAAGAACTGGACAGGCACTGCCATGGACAGCTATCTGCACTGCAGGTCCCCAGCAGGCTGCTATCTGCACTGCAGGTCCCACAAGTGCGGGAACTCGGACGGCCGCTGCTGTTTGAAAATTTAAAGGGCCGGCAGCGGCCTTAAGAATCGGGGCATTTTCACGAGTACAAGTACTTGTGAAAATGTCTGGTTTCGGTCCCGATACTGATACTAGTATCGGTATCGGCACATCGCTAGTCTGAACTCTTCTTCTTGTGTGAATCTGTTCACAAGCTATAAGGTAGCAGAAGATAAATGCAGTCTGGTTCCAAGACGCTCAGAACACCAGCCACTGCACTGCCTTAAAAACTGTTATTAAATTCTGACCTCCCCCATCTCAAAGTACTTGCTCTTTGGTGAACCTAAAGATCCACAATTAGCACCCATGATATATACCATTGCTTGTTAAGTACTGCTGGAAAATATTGGGGCAGTTTGTGACCCCTCTTGGAAGTTACTTTCCTGGTAATTTTGTTGAATTTGTGTGTTTGTGCGAGTCTCCTCCCAGAACATACTGATGGTTTATATCCATCTAATCTGGCCATAGGTTGTGTGTCTCTAAAACGGCTCTTTGGCTGTTGTCGGGGCTTTTCCACTGTACTGAGGTCTCCATTAAAAAAACTTACCGCCACATTGTATATGGCCATCCCCACCGCCCGATGGTCATTGATCTTTTCCGTGGAGACACTCTTTGTCTCATAGGCCAGAAATATACCGAGCAGAAGAATAAGACCCTTGGAACCGTACACTATACCTAAAGAAAATGAAAAGTGAGAGGGTTGAACGTATCAGAAATGACTAGAGATACAACGCAGATATGTGGAGCATATAAGACGCGGCCCAAAATAATTAGAAGAGAAGAGATGAGGAAAAGATGGAACTCACCAAGCCAAGTGTTCATCTTCACAGAGCTACAGTGTTCCAGCTGAGGAAGGATGAGGACATCCAGGTCCCCACGAGGCTCTTCTTTAGTAAATTCCTGTAATAATTCAAATATTATTGTCATCATTGTTATACTTTACTATACATTACATATATCAGGACACAAAGTCCTTAATCTCTTTTTCTGCAGCCTCAGTTATCAATGAACAGGAATCCTCTATACTGAGTGTTCCTGTTCATTGATAACATGAGGACAAAGTATGTTTACTATAACCACAATCATGAATGGACAGGAGGAGATGTAGATCGCTCCCATTCATTCATAATTGAGGATATAGTAACCATACTCTGTCCTCAATTATCTACACTCAGCGATCACTGATCACCGACTGCTTGTACCCGCTCTCTTATCTCCTGTAATACTCTGTTCTGCTGGAAGACTCTGCTCCTTCTCTATCTCTCACTTCCTGTCATACTCTGTTCTGCTGGACAGTGACACTCACCTCAGCGATAATCCTCCCCAGCTCCTGGTTCTCCAGGAGACGTGACTTCTCCTCCTCATTATTGTTTGTGGACGATCCTGTCTTCAGAGTGTCCGCTGTCACAGGAGGCTGAGCGAGCGGTGCAGGGAGAGCTCAGCCTCTGTGACAGTGCTAGCTGTCTCCGCCCACACACCGCTCTGCCGAACTGTGATAGGCGGCCGAGCGGTGTGGGAGGAGAGACACCGGCCGTTAACAGAGCTCTCCTACCGCAGCGCTCGGCCGCCTGTGACACTTTCTCTCTTCCCCGCTGGGACACAAAGCAGCGCCCAGTGTGGAGGAGAGAAAGCAGGGATGCGTCATGGTATCGGCCGAAACATGGCACTTTCGGCATTATGCCGAAAGTGCCATTTTCGGCCGATATGTTTCGGCAGCCGAAATATCGGTGCATCCCTAGCCTAAATACATGAGTAAATACATTTTTCCTTAGATCCTGGTGATCATTATATGTAAGTGGTATGGTGCATTTGTAGGATGACCAGATAATGTCAGGCAGGGGCCTCCCGAGGCCGGGTGTCACCTGGAGCGTAGAAGAGGTGACACCCCGTTGTGACGTCATCGGGCACGTGCCGTCATCTTATTGATGCCTGCCGGTGGCCATCTTGGTGATGGACGCCAGCAGAGAGAGGCGGGGACGTTCACACGGCGGGATGAGGTGTGCCGCCGGGTCCCCTCCTCTCTCCTGACACTGTCGGGCACTCTGTCCATGACCGAGTGCCCAACTTTTCATAGTGGGCGACACCAAAATGACTGTCTGTCATTTTGGTGTCACCCCTCCAATGATGGCACCCGGGTGCGGGCCGCACTCCCCCCGCACCCTCCTTGTGACGTCACTGATGTCAGGTCATAGGCAAGGGAATAGCTTAATTTTGCAAGTCCCAATAGCAACATGTTGTAAAGGTTTCCCCAACGTCCTTTCTCATTAACACCTGGCTGGCAGTGTCAATTGAGACAACAGTGTAATCAACGTAAACATAAAGGTCAGGTAGCATATGGCCCCGTTCACACCAGGGATTTGGCCGTGTGGATCTGCCAACATGAACGCTCCCATACATTGCTATGGGGACCGTTCATGCGACCGTGTGGCTCAGCGCGATCCGAACCGCCGCGCACCATTGCTCCCTGGCCCTTTTGTGCCGCGCTGATCAGTGCGGTTTCCATACAGCTGTCAATGGAACCGTGTGGTTTTGGGCGTCGAAACGCAATGAAAAACTTCTAAAACCTCCCTTTTGAAATCGGCGCGGAAACCGCACTGATCCACAGCCGCCGTGTTGTGAATGGGGCCTAATGGCTGTCAGCATAGTCAGTGCATTGATAAATCTACTAACAGAGGGGGGAAAGCAAAGGGGATCTGTGACTAATGACAGCTCATGATTAGGGTTAATGATGCAGTACTTGATCTGTGTTATTGCTACATGTACACTGATATTCTATCTTTCATTAACCTCAGGAAACTCCCTGGTGGGTCCCCCCTCCCAACCTTGGGCCCCATAGCAGCTGTGTGCACTGCTATGGCTATAGTTATATTGGAGTCCAGAAAAATGTGTCTAGGTTCCTGAATTAGAATATTCTGAAGGCATGTCCCTCTGTGTTCACTCACCTCAATAGATCTCTGCAAAGGATCCACAATCTGCCAGATCCCCAGTGTGATGACATCTAGACCCAGCAACAAGGACACCGTACTGTACAGCTTCCAGGGCTCCACGGTCTGAGATTGCTGAAAAGAAGACAAAACACTTAGCACTGCCATATACTGTACATTGCAGAAAGTAGAGAATTCCACAACCCTGGGTGACCCGGGGAAACCACAAAACATTCATACAGAGATGACACAGATACAAAAATATTAAAGTGAATCTCCATTGCTTTTTGTCTCCACATTAGACATATTTCCTTCTACTTCCTGTCTTGGGACAGCTATTGCTGTAACAGAAGTCCTCATTGAAAGACCTCCCCTCTATCCCTATTCTGACAATAGTAACCTAAATTTAGGATCTTCCCTTTTGTTCTTTACAGGGCTGATGCAAGGATTTTTGCCTACACAGGAGAAAGAGCATGTGTAGGCAAGCGCTGATCCTTTTTTGTTAGAACTGTAACACAGAGAGTGCAGAGGCCAGTAGTGTGTAATGGAGAGTGCAGGGCTGAGTAGTATGTAATGTAGAGTCCAGGGGTCAGTAATTAGCAACGGAAAGTGTGGGTTCAGTAGAAAGTAACTCAGTGTGCAGAGGTCAGTAGCATGTAATGCAGAGTGCAGGGCTCAGTAGTATGTAACGCAGAGTGCTGGGCTCAGTAGTATGTAACGCAGAGTGCTGAGCTCAGTAGTAGGTAACGCAGAGTGCTGGGCTCAGTAGTATGTAACGCAGAGTGCTGGGCTCAGTAGTATGTAAGAGTTCAGAGATCAGTAGTATGTAACACAGAATGCAGGGGTCAGTAGTGTGTATTGGAGAGTGCAGGGCTCAGTAGTATGTAACACAGAGTTCATAGATCAGTAGTATGTAACACACATCTCCCTTCCAATCAAAAATACCTCGTTCCAGTACAAACATCTCCACCCAAGCTAAAATAGTTTCCAATATAAATCCCACTCTCCCTCCCATCCTGAAATGTACTCACAGACCTTCCCTTTTCCATTGCGGCAAGTTCTATTCCATCTCCTTGGAGTCGATCAAAACCACCAATTTTTAGGTAAAAGTTCAGTCACAAACTGCCACGTGTATGGCCAGCTTCAGGCTCTATACTAGAGGTGGCTATACTTTGGCCCCCCAACTGTGGTACAACTACAAATTCCACCATGCATCTGCCTCTGGAAGTCATGCCTGTGGCTGTCTGTGAGAGTTCTGCAAAGCTTCATGGGACTTGTAGTTCAACTACAGCTGGAAGTTTGGATACCCTTGCTCTATACTAACAGGCCTGTGGCATAACTATCACCATAGCAACCCACGCGGTCACTATGGGGCCCGGGGCAGAGGTGGGCCCGGCCAGGAGGAGGAGGCCAGGGCCCGGCTGCGTTGGAGGAGGCCAGGGCCTGGCGGTGGAGGAGGCCGGGGCACACTGTGCTCAGGTAAGAGGAGCGCAGTGTGCAGGGAAAGAGACCCCGACCAGCCCACCTGAGAACCTGCAGAGCCCATCACAGAGAGTCTACAGTGGTCTCTGCAGGGTCACTCTCAGGTGGGCTGTGCGGGGTCTCAGGTGGGTGTTGCAGGGTCTATGGTGGGGTTTGCAGGGTGTCAGGTGGGCTCTGCAGGGTCTATGGTGGGCTCTGCAGGGTCTCTGGTAGGCTGTGCGGCGTCTATTGTGGGCTCTGCAGCAGTGAGCAACGGAGTGATCTGTTCTTCGGCTCTGACGTCAGCAGGAGCAGAGCTGAAGAGACCAAGATGGCGCAGGCACGAGAACATGTTCTGGAGGTCGTTTTTTTCTTTTCGTGGGGGGGCGGAATAGGGGTTTGGTATAGGGACCCATATAAAATTTTGCTATGGGGCCCTATGATTTCTAGTTACACCCCTGAACGGGCCTATATGTGGTCTGATCCTACTAGCACGGCAACACGGCCATAACTAGCACGGCCAAGCGACACATCCGTGCGGTGGCTGTCCCCCGGAACCCCGGTGCCCATCTCCTGTAGCTTTCCTCCGCCTGTTATTGATCTCTCGGGAATCCATCAGGGAAACTACTTCTCGGAGGGGCGGAGAGATTATTCCAGTTTTCGGCTCTCGCCGTGAAGAGGAATCTGCAATTGATGTCGGAGTGGTGGCTTTTTTTCTTTTTTGCTTTATGGGACAATTGGTGTAAAATCTGGGAGAAGTACTGTGGGGGAGGGGTTGAAATATATTCAAATTGTCAGGTGGAGAAGAGAGGAAGCACAGTGGGAGAATTATCCAGCCCGGCGGAGCTTTGTACTAAGCAGATTTATTTATTTTGCTCAATAACGGAGCGCGGGAACATTTTCCACAGCAATTTACAGAGGACATTAAAGCTGGACTCCGAGCTGATATAAAAGACACAAATTAACGCCGCAGCTCTGTAATCATGAAACCATCATTAAATGTATTCGTTTAAATGCAAGCGGCGTGTGTGCGTGTGCTAAATCTGACTTGGTATCAGCCTCTTGCAGTCGCTGTACAGCAGAGCTCAGAGTAGGAGAGGGAGAAGCAGCTCAGAGAGCCAATTATTATTATACAGGATTTATATAGCGCAGTTTGCTCAGCACTTTACAATATAAGGAAGGCATTACAATCATAATACAAGCCAAGACAAGATGGTAAGGAGGGCCCTGCCCCTGAGGGCTTGCAATCTAAAAGGGAGGGGCAAGTGATACATGAGGAGGCAGCTGTGTGGGGATGAATTGTCTGAGAATGCGATGGTTCAGTGGTCAAGTTGAGGATGGATAGGCTTCCCTGAAGAGATGAGTCTTAAGGGATTGCCTAAAGGCAGTCAAGGTGGGAGATAGACGGACAGGTTGGGGTAAAAAGTTCCAGAGGATGGGAGAGACTCTGGAGAAGTCTTGGAGGCGAGCATGGGAGGAGTTGACGAGGGAGCTGGAAAGCAAAAGATCTTGGGAAGAGCGGAGGGGACGGTTAGGGTGATACTTTGAGACGAGGTTGGAGATATAGCCGGGGGGCGGAGTTCTGGATGGCTTTGTAAGTCATTGTTAATATTTTGATATTTATCCTTTGTGCTATTGGAAGCCAGTGTAGGGATTGGGAAAGGGGGGTTGCAGACACTGAGGTGGTTGGTTAGGTGGATGAGTAAAAGCAGGAGGTCTTTGGAAGAGCGGAGGGGACGGTTAGGGTGATACTTTAAGACAAGGTTGGAGATGTATCCGGGGGCGGAGTTGTGGATGGCTTTATAAGTGGTTGTTAATATTTTGAATTTTATTCTTTGGGCTATTGGAAGCCCGTGCAGGAATTGGCAGAGGGGGGCGGGGGATGGAAGCCAGTGAAGGGATCGGCAGAGGGGGGGAGAGAGCAGAGAGCCAATCAGTGCATGTGTTGGCAAAGAGAATGCTGATAGGAGGAGAAAGCAGATTGACAGAGAGAAGAGCTAATGATTGTGCTGCTTCTCATTCACTGTCCAGTCATGGGTCGGGCAGGGAGGGTCAGTCTGGGTTCAGGTTGAATCATGCTTGCTGTCATTTAACCTGGAAGACCGAGGACATCTAGTGGCAGAGAAGCAGTACTGCGCGGGGCAGCTCTATGTTAAATGTGAATATTGACACAGAAGCAGCTCTTACCAAAGGAGCTTACAATCAAATGCCCCACCCCATGCATACAGTGGCACATACATGTACAACTCATCCCTCCCCCGACCTTAAAACTTAACTTACCAATAAAATTAACCCTTAACCTCCCTCAGACACTAACCCCTACCCAGCCCTGAACATAAACATGAATCTACTCGAACACACCCCTAACCTCACCCAGAAAAATAACATTCAAGTCAGATATACATTAATGCAGCTCCGTATTCATCAATACATCATGAGATGACAGGCATCAGCCTCTTGTACTTCCCTGTGCAGCAGAGCTTAGAATGGGAGAAAGAGAAGCAGCACAAGGAGCCAATCAGCTGTACTTCGGTGCCTGTTCTGGTAGGACAAAAAAAGTGACAAGGCTGTGCTGTGTGGCAGTGCTATGTAAACCTCAGGACTGGATGGATATATATACAAATCCTTTAGCACAGGGCTATAACTACAGATCATGGGGGGCCTAGGGTTGGCACCTGTCCAGGATACACTCGGACAGTCCGGGTTTTGAATTTTGTGTCCGGGCTTCATGGCAGCAAAAACCCGGACACATGATGTCAGGCAGACAGGGGCAACCAAAATTAAGATAGGGGCTACTGACCCCCCCCCCACTAAAAATAGTCTCAACTGTGATATTTACATATGAACAAGCAACCACTCATTCTCCCAAAAATGTCTACGAGTCGCTTGAGTGTTTGGGTTTCACTTGAAGAAAAGGTGGCAACCCCAGGGGGGGCCCCATCTCTGAGCTGTGAGTAATGATGCCAGGAACCCAAAGACTCCTCTTGATCATCTGAAGTCGTCTCTACACTTAGGGTAGCCGCCTTTTCATCAAGTGAAACCCGAACACTCCATCGCTGCGTGCAGCAACTTTTTGGGGGGGAGAATATAGAGGAGAGAGCGGGGAGAGGCAGCCTGGAGAGGGAGTAAGAGGACCATCTATAGAGGACTACAAATCCCAGCAATACATTACACAGCAATACAAAATAATATGAAGCTACATACTCTACATAAGGGCTCTAAGGTGGACTCTGCGGGCTCTCAGGTGGGTTATGCGGGCTCTCAAGTGGCTGTGTGGAGTCTCACGTGGACTCTGCGAGCTCTCAGGTGGGCTATGCAGGGTCTCAGGTGGGCTATGCAGGGTCTCAGGTGGTGCTGTGCGGGAAGTGCTGGGGTTCGGAGGCAGGCAGCGTGCTGTCAGGAAGGAGCCGGAGGAGGAGATGTGCGGGCCGGTGCCTGTTTACAGTCGCCCGCGGCGCACAGGAAGATGCGGCTTCAACAGGCTCACAGGAAGTGTCGGTATCAACGCTTAGTGCCTTGTGTCCGGGTGTCAGCTGGACTGAAGCCTGGATACAAGATTCAAAAACTGGTGGCAACCCTATCTAATATCTACTGTAGACTTTACAGAGGGATTAGAGTTGTCGTCAACTGCATCCACTCCAACCCTTAATGATACAGTACTGTCT